TCTCTCTCTCTCTCTCTCTCTCTCTCTCTCTCGCTCGCTCGCTCGCTCGCTCAATGTATGGAGGGGGAAGAAAAGAAAAAGAAAGAAAACAGATCTCTCTCTCTCTCTCTCTCTCTCTCTCTCTCTCTCTCTCTCTCCAAGGAATCATCTTTGCCGTGCCGAGAGAAGATAGCGGGCGGGGCGGGTAGAGGCCGAGCGGAGGTGGGCGGAGGTAGAAAACGGTAGGAGTTGGACAGGGGTTGGGCTGCCAGCCGAGGGGAGGTGGGCAGAGGAGAAATGGCCGAGGCGGAGAGGAGATGGCGGGAGGAGGCGGAGAAGAGAGCGGGCGAAGGCCAACCGGTGGGTGGAGGCGTAGGGCGGAGGCCAAGGGGAGGTCGACAGATGTACTGGGCGGGGGCCTTGCGGAGGTGGGTGGAGGTAGCGGGCGGAGGAGTTGGGCAGAGGCGGACAGGAGGTCAGCGGAGGCCGAGGGGAGGTTGGCGCGCACAGCGGGATGTGCAGCGGGATGTTGGGAGGAGGTGGACGCGAGGTGGGCGGAGGGCAAGGGGAGATGGGAGATCCCAATGGCGGAAGGGAGGGTTGGCACGCACAGTGGATGTGCAGCGGGATGGCGGGAGGAGGAGGACGCGAGGTGGGGGGAAGGCAAGGGGAGATGGGAGATCCCAATGGCGGAAGGGAGGTGGGCGAAGGCTGACAGGAGGTCGTCAGAGGCTGTCAGGAGGTCGTTGGAGGCCGAGGGGAGGTGGGCACGCACTGTTAAAAAAGAAAAAAAAAAGAAAAAAGGGGTGGGCAATGGGATGTCCAGCGGGATGGCGGATGTGCGGGCAGAGGAATGGAGCCCAGAGGTGAGCGGAGGCGGAGGAGAAGTGGCGGAGGCCGAGCGGAAAGAGAGAGAGGACTTAGCCAGAGGAGGCGGACAGGAGGCGGAGGGAGGCTGAGGGGAGATTGGCGATCCCAATGGCGGGAGGGAGGTGGGCAGAGGCGGACAGAAGGTCGGCGCTGGCCGAGGGGAGGTGAGCACGCACCATTTTTTTTTTGTTTTTCTTCTAAAAGGCAGGCAGAGGGATGGCGGATGTGTCGGCAGTGGAATGGAGGCGGAGAGGAGATGGCGGGAGGCCTACGGGAGGTGGCAGAGGTGGAGAGGAGATGGCGGGAGGAGGCGGACGGGAGGTGGCGGAGGTGGAGAGGAGATGGTGGGAGGAGGCGGATGGGAGGAGGCGGACGGAAGGAGGCGGACGGGAGGTGGCAGAGGCGGAGAGGAGATGGCGGGAGGAGATAACCGGAGGAGGCAGACGGGAGGTGGCGGAGGCGGAGGAGAGGAGATGGCGGGGAGAGGCCGACGGAGGTGGGCGGAGACGGAGGGGAGGTGGTCCGAGGTGGGCGAAGGTGGGCGGAGGCCAAGCGGAGGTGGGTGGAGGCCGAACGGAGGTGGGCGGAGGCCGAGGCCAGAGGCGATGGCGCAGGCCGCAATCGCTCTCTCTCTCTTTCTCTCAAACACACACACACACACACACACACACACACACAGGGGATAGGGAGGCGGAGCGGGAGGAGATCACAGGAGGAGATGGCGGGAGGAGATGGTGGGAGGAGGCAGACGGGAGGTGGCGGTGCAATGAACCCAGATCGTGAAGACACTTGTCAACAATGCAAGTCCAGATGGATATCAACCTGCTGATGATTATCAATAATCATAATCGTGTCCAGATAGAATGAGATGGGAGAATGATACACAGACGAGAGAGGGAGGAGGGAGATTAGACTTAGACGAAGAATAAAGACAAATACCCACTTCTGCTCCGGGCTCCCTCCTCGATCACCACCTCAAATAATCAATAGTCTGAACGCACATCTGAAGTTTTATTACAATGTGCCACGAGGCACGTCAATCAGTCTTCATCAGCGCACTGGAGCAATGTCGACATCAAGATGACCAGGTACTTGTCCACGATCGCCCCCACAGTCATGATCTCCTCCTGAGTGATGATGAATCAGAACAGTAGTGCCAGTCACGTAACCCAGCCACGTCAGCAACAGTACACGTGGCAGCGGCCACGTCAGCAGCAACGCATGGCAGCTGCCACGTCAGCATGCCCAGAAGACAATAGCAAGCCAGCCACCATGCTGAGCCAGCATCGCGTCGCCGTAATCACCCAAGTGCCAGCACAAAGCCAGCGTCCAACCAGCGTCGCAGCGTCGAGCCAGCGTTGTCGTCATCGCGTGAAGTCAGCATTGACGCAAGACTGAATGAATGTCAAAGCCAGGAAGTCAGTGCTTATGTAGCGTTGACGCGGGGCCTGCTCCCCGGATGCCGCATCCCCCAGCCGTCAAGATCTTAGTGCAAATGACGGCCCAGATTGGCCTGAAACCAAATTCCCTCTGGCCTTGATACTGTCTGGGTACCTGCACACAACAAGTGAGTGTATCCGACCAAGGGCCTGGGCGCGGTACCTTTGACCTGACAGTTGACTTAGACTTTTGATTTTCCTAGGGCAGTGCGTGGTCGGTCACTCTGCCTGGTGCAAACCGAGTTTGGCCTGCATCGTCTGGGCTCCATTTCGAGGGCCCAGACTGCTGCAGAACACGGGTTACTGCAGTGGAGGCGGGGGAGGAAAGAGAGAGAGAGGATCTGGCGGGGTGAGGCAAAGGGGAGCTAGGCTGAGGCCGAGTGGAGGTGGGCAGAGGCCGAGCGGAGGAAGGCGGAGGCCGAGACCGGAGGCGGTGGCGCAGGCCGCTCCCTCTCTCTCTCTCTCTCACACACACACACACACACACACAGAGGGGATAGAGAGGCGGAGGAGAAGAGGAGTTGGCGGGAGGAGATTGCCGGAGGAGATGGTGGGACGAGATGGTGGGAGGAGGCGGACGGGAGGAGGCGGAGGGGAGGTGGCAGAGGCAGGGGAGGAAAGAGGCTCTGGCGGGGGGAGGCAGAGGGGAGGTGGGCGGAGGCCGAGCAGAAGTGGGCGGAGGCCAAGGCCGGAGGCGGTGGTGCAGGCTGCGACCTCTCTCTTTCTCTCTGTCACACACACACACACACACACACACACACACACAGACAGGGGATAGGGAGGCGGAGCCAGAAGTGGAGAGGAGTTGAGTTGGCCGGAGGAGATCGCGGGAGGAGATGGTGGAAGGAGGCGGACGGGAGGTGGTGGAAGCGGAGGAGGAAAGAGAGAGGATCTGGCGGGGGGAGGCAGAGGGGAGGTGGGCGGAGGCCGAGGCCAGAGGCGATGACGCAGGACGCAATCTCTCTCTCTCTCTCTCTCTCTCTCTCTCTCTCTCTCTCTCTCTCTCTCTCTCTCTC